TGCTGTGTGAGTTTTTCAGTTTGAACCATATTCAGCTGGAAATCATTTTTTTTGTAGCCTTCACCAAGCTTTCTGGAGGTGTGCAGAACACACGTGTAGGCCGCAACATGTGTGTTTGTGTAGATATTCATAGTGTTTGTGTGCTCCTTAGACTAGCATCAGTGCCGGGTCCTGAGGAGGAGCAACCGCTGGTCACTCACTTCTGCTGGGAGGCCTCTTTTGCTCTGGTTGCCTGGCAACTCTAGTGTTTCCAAATGGGAGGGGTTTATTTTACCCAGGAAAGTGCAAATAATTGGAGGGAATTGCATGAAACAAGGATGAAGCTGTTAACTTGTGATGCTTGCTCAAGATTCAGCACACTGGCATTCAGTGATGGTTGGAATCAAGGGACCCTTCAGTGTTTCTTATAGAGAAAAAACAGTCAAGAAAAGGGAAAAGCATTAGAAACCCAGTGCTTTTGTGGTATAGATGAAATTCAGCATTATTATATTGAACTGAAATCCAGCATAGAATTGTGTGAAGCCTTTAAAGTGTTGGATTTTTTTGGTTAGAAATACATAGCTGCACACTGAAATACAACCACTGATGATGAAGAGGTATTAGTAACACACTATTTGAAAATGACAGCAGAGATTTTAATTCATAATACTGAAATTATGAATGCAGACAGATAGCATACTTTCCATGTTTTGTGCATAATTTTATGCTAATTAACAAGAGAAAGGAAAGAAAGGATTTGGAAATCAATAGCTGGAACTAAAATTAAAGTTTAAAATGCATACTTTCTTATTTAAAAAATGAATATAACACTCAAAAGGTTTGCTTCATCAGACCTATGTGAGTGCATTTTGATTAGATTTCATTTAGAATGGCCCATCAGCCAGGGCCATAGCATTATGATTCAAACATCACTAAACCCTGGTCCTGCTTAGTTCAACCTAGTGAGAAGAGCCTAGACAAAAACACAAATACAGAAAGCTTTTATAGAAATAGCCAAAATAATTATAATTTTGACAGAAAATTCTGTTCACAGTTAGAAGCTGACTGAGAACAAAGGGGGCATTTATTGAATTCAGGCGTGGGAACCAGACCCAAACTGGTCCAAGCTTTGAGATCCCAGCAACACTTTTTCTGCCACATGAAGATTCTGGAACAACATTTGAAGTCATGTTGTACAGTATGCTGCAGATATACATGCGGATACTTCACTCTAGACTTTAGGAAAAACCAGATTGCTGACAGTTGACACATTTGAGTTACAAAGGGCTATTTAAAGTGCAAAACATAAGACACTTGTGGGCAATACCCCGGCTCAGCAAATACTGTTCAATATTATGTTCCTGAAACTCAGCAGCAAAAACAATATTTACAGGATGACATTAGTGTGGCCTGCCATCACTGCATGAGCCGTGCCCACCGAGGTGACTCCGCACACTGTGAACGCTGGTGTAAGCACAATTTCTACTATCTATGGTTAAGCTATGATGAAATATCTTACTCTCTATAGTCATTATAGCTCCCAGGGGAAACTATAACAGAAGCTTATGACTTGATTACACAAAGAGACACTTCTGACATTACTCACACAAAATTACTTTTTGTTTATTTCTGCTGCATGCAGGCTAGGGTTTATTTGACGCTTATTAAACTGCTTGGCCTACTTAAGTGTGAGGTCAGTTTTCATGTTTCCTGTATGAACACAGTAAAGTTTGATGTGCATCTGAATGGATGGAAAAAAGTATCTGTTGTCTCAATGTCACAACTGCTGCTCTCGGTCAATAATAGCTATAGTACGTGATTTTTTATATCATTAACTGTCTGATGAGGTGCAGTAATGACATATCTAACTCCTATGTGTTACATAGGGGTTGTGTGTGTGTGTTTGTGAGCACCATGCGCTATTTACAGCTGGCATATGAACCCGGCAGCTGAACCAAGATCAGCTGTTTGTCCTCTGGGGAGGCGTTCTGACTCATCTGTTTGGCGAGCAGCAGTGTGTTGTAATGTGTATGTATATGTATGAATACACTGTATGACTGTTCATGTCAGTGTGTATTTCTATATGTACTTCTACAAGTATTCACATATATTTTAACCAACAAAACCCTTCAAGCTTAAAAAGAATGGCTACTAATTGCACTGTAGTCAGCACAGCCACTCATTCATCCATGTCTGTGTTGAACAAGTAGGGAATAGCTAAATTATGAGGTTTTAACAGTGGAGGTCAGCCTGGACTTCTTTAAGTCTTTATTCTCCAACTCTTTATATAATTTATATAGTACTGTATGTGGAGAGAGGGAAACGGTGCAATACTGTTTTCCACCTGCGCCTGAATCATTAAAGTAAAGTAGGGATACACTGTCATAATTTCACAAATACAGTACAGTTAGATATTGCATTTGTGATAATGATGACAAACCTAGTGTTAAAATGTGCTTCCATGCTTCAGAAGGAGAGGCCAGGGTGTAAAAGTGAGAGGGAGGGAATGGCAGAGACAATGAGAAGGAGTTATTGGTTTGGAACAGGAGGCTCACCTCCCTTAGGTACGGACATAAAGACCTCCATTTTGATAAATAGCATCTTTGTGTTTTTCTTCTCATGTCTCTTTCATAGTGAGGGTAAGGAGTCACTTATTCAGTAAATCTAGTTATCAGCTGCAGAGCTTTTCATCTGCTTGACCTCCATGTTCTCTGCTGTTATACCTGCTAGCAGTGATGGAAAGTATCTAAGTACATTTACTTAAGTACTGTGCTTAAATAAAAATTTGGCATATCTGTACTTTACTTGAGTATTTGCATTTTGTGCTACTTCATACTTAGACTTCGCTACATCCATCCTTTACCTGTACCGCTTCATCCTGATGATGGTCACGGGGAGCTGGAGCCAATCCCAGCTGACACTGGGCAAGAAGCGAATCCACCCTGGACAGGTCGTCAGGTCTATCACAGGGCCGACATGTAGACAAACAACCACACACACTCACACTCCCTCCCACAGGCAATTTAGAGTCACCAATCAACCTAAGCTGCATGTCTTTGGACTGTGGGAGGAAACCAGAGTACATGGAGAGAACCACCCAGGCACAGGGAGAACATGCAGAGACCACACAGAAAAGCATTACGTCGGCCGGGGCTCAAACATGGAACATTCTTGCTGTTAGGCGACCGTGCTAACCGCCTCGCTTTACTTCACTAGATTTTACAGACAAATATTGTACTTTGTAATCCATTACATTTACTTGATATCTTTATTTACTTTTCAGAATCAGATCAATTATACGAAATACAATATAATTATCTGACTTTGATCCCTGGTGGGAAAATCACCAAATACCCAGCAGTACTTCAAATTGTAAGCATATAAGGTGAGCTCCACCTTTACCAGCTGCAGAATTACATGTTACATACACAATAATGTGTCAGTATTTTTTATCCAATAATATATTAATGTGAACGTACTAGTCTGTATAATGGGTAGTTTTACTTTTGGTACTTTAAGTATATTTTGATTCCAATCCTTTTGTAGTTCTACTTAAGTAACATTTTGAATGCAGGACTTTTACTGTTTTTAAACTGTGATATTGTTACTTTTACTTAAGTAAGCACTTTGAGTACTTCTTCCACCACTGCCTGCTGGCTTGCTTAAGACATCTCTCCACTAGACTAATGTCCCACTGGAGTAAACATTTTACTACCTAACTAACACATATGGATTTCACAGATAACGTCTGTTGACATGCTCATTGTACAAACTTGATAACAACCTTACAACCTTGTAACACTGTAATATGTGAAACACAGCCTAACACTTGGGATAAAGGGTTTGTCCACTGGGAGTGTGGCCTGGTGCTCCTGTAGCGCAGAGAATCCTACTGATGTGTTAGATTTAAAATTGTTCTGCTGTAACGAGATTGTTTGTCCGTGTCAGTCAGAGCAACAGTAGGCTTATATTTTGCCTGTTATGTCCCATGGCATACCAAGAGCAAGATGCCACTCGCTCATCCTTTGCAGCGTGTGTGTGTGTGTGTGGTGACTTTGTTAAGGTGCTACCACACTGTCTGCTCTCTGTCAGCATTGCTTCCCTTGGGCATCAATGTTTTCCTCACAACTCCACTTGGCTTTAGCAACATGCCTCCACTGAGGCGTTGAGACCCTGAATAACAACAGCGGTTGTAATTGTATTTGTATGTGCGATTGTGTTTGAAGTGTGTGCTCGCAGAGGGACAGAGTGTACTGCTGGTGTTACTCTGTGGCTCTGTGCCTGTGTGCACATGCATGGATTTGCTTCCTCTAATGTGTTTTTGCTCAGTATGTGCTCATTTTAGAGCAGGCCTGTTCTTCAGATCTATGGGGAGGCGTGCTTTTTGCTGACTTTGTTTGGTTCAAAGCCTGAAGCGCTTACTGATCAATAGTATCCCAGACCCACCACATCTATGTGCAGCTGATTGGCTCTCTTCATTGCAGGCAGCCACATCTTAACAGTGGAAAGCCCTACAGTACATCAGTGTTACTCACATCTTTCTAGGCATATTTTAGACACACCCTTAATCACTCACAGCGTGCACCAAATTCATTCTTTTCATTCAGTGAACTCTGAAAACAATAAAAATACATTTCTTGTATTCTGCTCTATGTAAAAAAAGGTGACATTAAGGGAAATCTTGTTACATCATGGGACCAACAGATGTGTTTTCTGGGTGATAGTAAGTTGCTAGTGAAACCCTGAAGAGATCTTTGGCTTTAGGTTTGTGTTTTATGTCTTTGAGGCAGAAGACTTTTGCAGTGTGTTTCTGTGTGGGCATCCGCACTCATGCCTGAATTTAGCAATGCATTTAAATGGACAAGGATTCAGCCTACAATATTACAGACAGTCACTGATCAGTATTTCCATCTCACTGGTTTTGTTTCTGGAGGCACAGAAAGCCCTCAGGCCAATAATGTGCACAGTGGCAGTGGATAGAAACATCAGCACATGTTAATCTTCATCTGTTGTCTTCTCAGGTCTGGATGACTGTCTCCAGCAGTACGTGAAGAGTTTCGAGCGGGAGCAGATGGGGGGAGAGCAGCTGCTGCACATCACCCATCAGGAGCTGGAGGAACTAGGCGTCACCAGAATAGGACATCAGGAGCTCATCCTGGAAGCTGTCGACCTCCTGTGTGCCCTGGTCAGTCAGCCCCTGCTTCTTACTGATATGCTTTCCTTCAGTCGACAGTACTTCAGGAGGAGTGATATGCAGGTTGTGGATGTGTGTATTTGCGTGTATCTGAGTGTGTCATGGTGTGACTGCCATGAGCCACAACAACTGAGCCCGAAAATATCACACATCTCAAAAATATGACTGAATGCATTCATAAATAATAGTTACATCATTAGCATGCTAACTCAGATTGGATTACATAAAGTATTTTTGCTGCCATTACACAAGCTTATATGATGATGCCACAGCAGCAGGCAGTACTGTACGTGATCAACATTACTTGTACTGGCTGGTGTGAAGAACGTTTCAGGTAGGTAGATATTATAACTGAAGTAAGATAAATTAAGATTTTTTTAATTAGCAGCATAGAGGTAAAGACAAATATTAACAAAATTTTTACAATATATTTTAAGTATTTATGCAAGACATTATTTATTGATTCATTTAGTTGATTCATGTGATAATCTCTTGCTGCCTTAGACAGGTTTTGGGGCTCTATACAAAACTTTCCTGTAGTTTTGATCACCAAAAACTCTCCAACATTTATGTTATTAAGACAGGATATGGAAGCAAAGTGGAAATGAGATCGTTGCAATAACTGGGTCTGCTTTGTGAGTCAGATGTTGGTGTAAATTTGCACCGCTGTCATGGTAGTGCTGACATTTTTGGGGAACAAAGAGCGTCCAAAATGAAGTTCATACAGCCGCTCCATCCACTTTTACTCAATGATCTTCTGTCAAGAGTAGAAAACTGTTACAAAACAGGAATGGTTTACTGCAGATATGATACAGCGCAGTACAAATACATGTTTTGAATAAACTATTTATCAATGTCCAACTATTTATCTTAGCAAGCTTTTTCCCCTCTTCACTAATTCTTTTACTGAATGAAATGATGTACAGTCCCAAAAACAAAATACCAGGAGGAAGTAAACAGCGCAGCATGGAGAAAAATACAAATAAGCTTCCATGATGGATGTTGCTAGCATGTTCCTGGCCTGCTCAAGTGTCAGTGATTGCCATGCCAGTTTAAATTAAAACTGTACAATATTTCTACTTCCTTTTGTTTGTGTTTCCTTATGGTGCCAAGACCTAGAACTAATATATAGAGGAGCCTCTGCTCTATAGTGTCTACATAGTTCTGATTATTTCCTAAAATAATTTTATATAAAAATACACTAGTAAAATGCTGCAGTTTAGATTATATTTGATATTTGAGAACATTCTATTAAATGAAATGTTGTTTGTTATGTGGAGTATATTGTAAGTAGGCTATAAAGGGGATTTATATTAAAAAATTATGATCATTTTTGACTACCAAATTAAATAAAACTTACCAACAATACTTTTCTCTTTTGGGCACATTTGGCTTTTATTAAAGAGAGGCAAACGGGAAACAAGGATGACAGAGAGGAGGAGAACTGTGAAAAATGTCAGTGCATGGACTCAAACTACCAACATCACACACACAGTTTTTTTAAGTGACCACTAAAGAAATTCTGATGATATATTGGTTGTTGTTTCTTCATCAGTTATTGATATTGACTCAAGAAATGGCTAGAAAAAAAAAACCTCCTCTATCATATGGGCCCTGCTTTGTATGAACTGCCTTGGTCACTGCTGACTAAATGTGCAGTGGCCCTGCTCAGGATTAGGGAATTAGGAAGAATTAGGTGCTACTCTCCCAGATAGAGAGAGAGGGAGTGTGGAGGGGAAAAGAAAGAGAGAGGGTATGTAGAAAGAGTATGCGGCATGCACCTTATCTCGCAGGCACACATGGCTGGATTAGCTGGGGCTGTTTGAACGTGTGTGTCAGTGTGTTTGTGAATGTGTACATACTTGTGTGTGTGTGTGTGCTAATCAGCACCTCTTCCCATTCAGATGCTCCAGCATGGGAATGAGTGTCCCACAGCAGCAATCACCATGTGTTCTGGAACTGGACACACACACACTCTCACACACACACACAAACACACACAACCTTACACACATTTAGAGATGCCAGGTAGACAAATGAATCACTAAAACTACTGCTGAGAGTGGTTTTAAAAGATAATACAACTTGGGTCTTTTGGCTCTCATTCCTAGCAGATATAATAACATGGTACATTAATTTTGAAATATGGGAACAAGTAGTGCCAGACAGGTTTTAAATAAAGCCCCAAGTTAGCCAGACGTATGTGCATGAGAAGTCAAAGGGGAATGGTAAAACTACAATTCATAGACAGACTTCAGGGTTTAACTTTAACCAGCAGTTTACTAAACTTGCCACAATTTTATGCACATAGTTTTCCTGTGCAAAGAGGGATTAGTGCCGTAATTTGCTCATGGTTTAGATAATTGCTAAATTGCTGGCTGGCTTACAACATACCTTCTTGCCAAATGGGCTCTCTTGGAGCGACGTCGCCAGATCTCATCAATAATTTTGGTGTACAATTTTATCATGATAAAAATGATGACCAAAATTACATAAATAACACCTAAATCATAATGAAACAGAACGATCCTTTGAGGTAGCTGGAGAAAGTTCACCTCAACTACACTCCTTGCTACTGCACTACTGTATGCTCTCCAGGTAACAAAGGGGCACGGCTGTAGACTGTGAATATTTGTATAATAAAAGATGGTTCACAGTTGTCAGCAGTATAATCCATTATAAGGAAAAGAAAACCCGGTTCCCCTGGCTCAACTATTATGATTTTCTTGTCTTCCTGCAGTAAAAGTGGGGGCGCTTCCATGGCCCTGGATCAGTGCAAGTTTCAAGTGCTGACTGAGCTTTCAGCCTTCTGTACATATGAGAAAGTCTCTTCTTTTATGCCTATGCTATCGAATTTTTGCCCCCAGCGTTTATGCTACTATAAGTAGGTTTCTATGTGTGCAGTGGATTTTCAGTGTGCTGAGAAATGGGCAGAACTTAAGAATAAAATGACTGCTCATCCCAGTATATCTGAAGTGAAAGACATGCATCAGTGACATTGTGTCATGACAGGCATCACTGATATAGAAGTTACTTAAAAAGTGTCAAAACTGGGCAAATTAAAACATCTCTATTGAACTACTCAGAGAATAAAATACAGAGCGATGCTGCAAATGAGCCTCCTCTCTCTCAGATATCTTTTTGACATCACAGTCAGCTGCAGGAGCAAGGCCACGGCTCTGCACAACATGTTCAGCTATTCACTGATGTGTTGTACAGTATTTTAAAAACATCTAAATTGTATAGACTAAATAATAATCAGAATATCAGGTCAACTGACTTTGTGTATTGTATTTTTAAATGTAATATTCATGTAGTCATTTACAGGCAACAAATTTTAGAGATCTCTTTGTATCCCCCCAGTGAGTATCTCTGGTTATCTCACACTGTGAAATCCATTCATATACAGTCTAAGAATCTAGCATACAAATTGTCACTTTCACTGACATCCTCTGTGTACTCAAAGGTTATGGTTTTATATTCATTTCCCTCATCAGAGATTTATTATGGTGTCCTGCAAAGTTTCATTTTAGGGCCACTTCCCTTTCTTGTGTGGTCCCACTGTGTGATATTAGAATTACAATATTGGTTCTATAGGAAAATCATCAGTGCTATTTAAATGACATTAAGAAATACCATTTAGTTAGGGTCCATCAAATTCCATCTAATTTCTACACCTTCCTCTTCTTGTGCTTTACATGTAGGTTACCCCTGCATAGGGTAGAGGATTGAACCCAATCTTCCAACTTGAAAGCAATGTACACACAACCCACATTGTCTTTATTAGTAGAGGTTATGTTCTGTCCTAAATTGTCTGCAAAATCCTATGTTTAAGAACAATGAATGTGACCTTTTTTACATGGAGCAAGTCTGATTAATATTTTACTTTGGAGAAGAAAAGGATTCAACAGTGATGTCTCCCTATGGGCCTAAACATAAATGGCGTTTAAGTGTGATTCTGTGGACAATGTTGCAATTATCAGCATAGAGGAGAGGCCACTCTACAAATGGCTGCTATGGCAACCGCATCGACATGAAGGTGGAGGGGAGGGTGAGGGTTGCTGTAATGGTATTGCTCTCTTACTGTATTGATTTGACAAGCACACATATGCACGCACCGCACAAATCTTTTTCTGCACACATACACAAAGTCATTCAGACAGTCGACAGGGCTGTATCCCCCTGCATCATCTCAGCACTCTGTCCCCTGGAGAGAGCCGCACTCAGCTTTAGATCAAATCATAGGACAGCCTAATTACAGCTGTGCAAACATGTGCGCTCCAAGTTCATACATCTACATTCACACACAATACAAACGAAGCAGAATGCAGTGTATGCATGACCCAGTTTCAGTGAGATGCTCTCTCTTCCTCTCTCTCCCTCTTGTCTTCTGCCTCTTTAGCTCCTCAATTCCCTCATTTCTCCCTCTCTTCTGCCACTGTGAAACCCTCCTTTGTAGTCACTGTGGTCGTGACTGTGTAGAACAGATCTAGATGCAGAAGAGGAATAGATACGTCTAGCTCAGCTTGTGTATTTGACTATTAGGATGTGTGTGTGTGTGTGTGTGTGTGTGTGTAGGAATCAGGCAGGATGTGGCTCGAGGTGCCTTGGGATGCTGAGTGCAATGTGGCTCAGTGGGTGTATGGTGTGTGTGTGTTTATTCAAAAGGGTCACAATGGGCAAAGTGCAAAGTGTCTGTTTTATGAACATGCTAATCAGGATTAATTCAAATTTCAGTTAATTTCATTCAGATTTACCATTTATAGTCAAAGTAGATTCTTTATCTATTCAACCTATAAAGCCTGTGGAAAGGTCATCCTTATTTATACAGATAAAAGTCCATACTGTATGTTGTATCCATTCCAAAATACACTGCAGTGGTTTCACATTACAGTGTGCTTTCCTGTTGCTTTATGGATTTTATAAACCTGTGATTCAGCCTTTTGAGAAAGGTCCTAATCTTTTTTGCTGAGTGTGAGATGAGAAGATTGATATCTTGTATCTTTGTCGTAATTATGAAGGTATAGCCAGGAGGTGATCAGCATCGCTTAGCACAAAGACAAGAAGCAGTAGGAAACAGCTACATGTAACTTTGCTATCTCCGAGGTTAAAAAGCATACCTACCATCTCCACAGGTTTGCTCATTAATATATATCATGCTTGATTAATCCGCACAGAGATGTAAAAAATTTGAAGAGACCCAAGTTAGCTTAGGTAATAAAGATAGAAGTGCAAGTGTTTGTGGTTGTTTGTCTGCATGTCAGCCCTGTGATAGACTGATGACCCGTGACCCTCGTTAAGATTAGTGGTATAGGTAATAAATGTGTCTGTGTCCCCCTGATTCCAGTCTTTCCAGGTTTCCAGGCTAAGCTGGGCTAAATCCCTGTCCTGAGCTCCATATTTAATGCACAGATGAGACAAAAATAATAATCTTTTCATCTAACTCTTGAACAGAAAGGGAATAAAACCACTGCTGAACAAACCCAAGTAAACTCAAATCTCACTCATCAGTCAAATATACTGTAATTTTACTTCTAAAACTAATCTTTCTGTTTGTCCTCCAGAACTATGGCCTAGAGACAGAGAACCTACGAACTTTGTCCCACAAGTTGAATGCTTCAGCAAAGAACCTCCAAAACTTCATCCTGGGTCGGCGGAGGGGTGGACACTATGATGGACGAGCTTCCCGGAGGCTACCCAATGATTTCCTCACCTCCGTGGTGGATCTGATCGGTGCAGCCAAGAACCTGCTAGCCTGGCTTGACAGGTTGGGACCACACCTGAGGCTGTAAAAGAGATTTGAATAATTTGACAATATCCCCAGTTTCTATCAAGTATGGACAATCACAAAAATCAGACTATATATAAAATCTTTGCTAATGTATGCTAATGTTTCTTGGTCTGGAAGAGAAGATGCATATCATTCGCAGTCTATTAAATGTCAATGTACAATGTACAGCTGGCTAGCTTAGCTTAACAGAGAGACTGGAGTTAACTTTCTTCTGTATTGGACAGATATAAGCGTGCTATCGTAGGCATTAAAGTTGTCTTTGTTTTGCCATTATGAATTTACATCAGCTAATTGACCCATGAAGCTGAGAGCACATACAATAAAATGTTGAGCTTTAGTGTATCCCTGAGTTGTGTTGCCTCCTGGCCACAATATAAAAGCTGCTTCTGTGCTGTGAGAGGAACAGAGAATAGCTTTTATTTCTCCCTCGCTGCCCTCTCAAAGCTTTTAAATTCACACTGTTAGCAAATAAATGAATGGAACAAAACAATTGAAGACAGCACTATAAAATAAAATTACTTTTGAAAAGTGAGTAAAAAAAAAAAAAATTAACAGAATGACCAGATATACTTTGCTGACATTCATTTATAATATGTGTGATATTATTAACTGGGTTCTTCTTTTTGTTTCAGGTCTCCTTTTGCCAGTGTGACAGAGTATTCATTACTGAAGAACAATATTGTGCAGCTCTGCCTAGAATTAACTACCATTGTACAACAGGTGCTTATACACACTCAAAAACACACAGGGTGAATTTATTACATACACATATAATAAAGGTCATGATTTGAACTGAAAGGGCAAAACTAAAGTGGCTTTGGACTGGGAACATCAATACAGATGCAGCTTGTTCTGATCTGTACCAGGAGAGGAACACGTGCCCACTGCCACAGGCTGTTTGCAGCATGGCTAATGGGATGGGTAGCTCAGTACTAGACTTCAGTCCCTGTGTAATGTATGGGCCCTGATGGAGATTGAACTAGGGGTCTACCATCCCTACATTTCCTGTTCTCACCATTCTGACCTAGAGGTGGACACATACACACTCTGATACTGTGTAGACTGCTCATTGTTTGGACAGAAAACTATGTCTGCTCTCCTGGACCTCATCCATGTCCTCCCTGTAAGAACCTGTTTAGAGTGTGTGTGAGTTTGTGCCCAGAGTGAGTCCTGGAGCTGAGCAGATAACACCCATCCCCTCTTACAAGGGCCACAGAGGGGAGGAAAGAAGAAGGGGCCTCTGTAGGTCCACAATGGGCCAAATGAACATGTAGCTGCCAGGGTGCATTGCGACAGACAAAAGTGGCAGAACTGCCTGCACTAATGCATCAAACAGATCTATCGGCTGCTACCGTGTACATCTGGTGGATTCAGTGGGCTGATTTCCCAGGAATAGATTAACTATCAGCTGTCATTAAATAACCATCTGTCACATTCAGATAATGTACAGTAGTTTCTAAATCCTGAGGAAGCTTGTGAAGCACCAGGTCACAGTGTAGATACAAAACTGATCAGTTCAGTGTATTAGTGCCTAGATTATGAAGTAATATACATAATGTGGAAGGTTCTAAATAAAAAAGCTGAATGCTGATGTTCTTCAGAAAAAGAAGTCTTCCATTTTCTTCTCTGCTGTTGACTTTCTCTTTTGTGATGGTTTTACTTGGAGAAGATATTTGAGCTTCTGTGCAAATGTTTACACTGATGCTTTTTCTTCTTCTCTCTCTTTCTTCTTGTTTAAAGGATTGCACTGTGTATGAGACAGAGAATAAGATTCTCCATGTGGTAAGTTTAATACACTGTGGCATACTCAACAATGACAGCTGCTAAATGGATAAATACAATAATCAGAAGATTTCTGTTTCAGCGTAGGCACCATTCCATTCCAGAGATTTCACAGAATCATAATTAAATAAAAGTCCTTATTGTTTTAAAGGTTTTAATTTGACATGTATTTTGTTACTTCCTGAGAGTTGGATAAGCTCTTTGCTCTGTACATTAAATATGAGGTGGCAGTCAGCATCTGGTTAGCTTAACTTAGCATAAACACTTGAGACAGAGGGAAACAGATAACTGAGCTCTGTCCAAAGGTAGGAAGGTCAGCCTACTGTGCCTGAACTTATAAAGCTAATTAACACATTATATCTCATTTGTCTTTACAGGAACTGAAGAAAAAATAGTCCAGCACATAACCCACCATAAAACTAAACACACTGATGATCACACAAACGAGGTATAATGTTTTAACCTGAGAGCTTTAGAGCTTTTGACAGAGCCAGGCTGCTCTCCCCTCCCCCCCCCGTCTCCTGGCCTAATGTTAAGTTAAGTTTAGTTAATGATGTCACCCAGTCTTTTCTACTAACTCTTGTTGATGTGAAGTGATTTTCAAAAATGTCAAACTACTACTGAGTAAAATCTTATCTCTACTGCAGGTAGTAGACAGTATTTGGCAATTATGCTCCAGTAGTGCAAATGTACTCATTGCGCTTGTGAAACACAATTGCATCCAAAAACAAAGTGAAAAAAAAAAAATAGAGGCAGCTAAACAAAATGTGTTTGCCTATGTGTGTTTGTGTTTTCTGTGTGGAGGTATGTGCAGAGCACTGTGTGTTTTTGTCAGAATTTATGCAAGTTAAAGTGCAATTGGGCCCGAGGCCTATGGAAAGTGCCAGTTTAGCTCCTGTGTGTGCGTGCGTGCATGCATGCATGACAAAAATCTGTCTATGTCCGTGTGTGAAACTGAGCAAGCATCTAATGTCTGATCTGGGCTGACAGTTGGACTGGGATGCTTCCTGCTGCCATTCCAGGTCAGGTGAGGGAAACCAAATAAAATGTTGGCAGGGGAACATTCTAGGCATTTATTTTAGCCCATGGAAAATACTCAGATTAGATGTTCTGTCAATATATGTTGTAATTATGCAATAATATGACATATTTCTATAATCAAAAACAATCACAAGACTGTATTTGAGATGTTAGTCTCCTCAGGTTGTGATGTCCCTCCTGTCAACATTACCCCCTCCTTAGCTTTTGGCTTGTGGAGCCATTTACCTCTGTTGTTACAGCCTTGTTAATACTGGATAAGGATGGCGACACTGGACAGAATCACATATTTAAATGGCTCGTCACATGTGCACGCACATATACAGTACACGCACACACACAAAACACTGGGTGCCAGACTAAAGGCTGCTCATGACTAAGCCTGTTATGTGTGGGAGGTTAATGTGTGAAATAGGGAGATGGTGTGAGGGGAGACAGAAGAGGAATTGTCTGTTTTTAGATGCTGCTTTCTTGCTGATCCTTGTTTACTATGCGTTTTAGAAACAAATGAACACGAGATAAAGTTTTATATCATTTGTCTAAGAACTTTGAATATTTTTTATATAACTGACTTGTTCAATGTGTCATGCCTTAGTAAAAAAAACGACTTCACTCTTATGCTATATTGTTTAGTGAAATGAAAAGCTGAAACTGATACACAAAGCCTTAGTTGATCACTCACATATGAAACACTGAAGTTAGCCAGCTGTTTGGAGACAGGATGAAAAAAAGCTCTTTATTAGGATTAAAATTCATATAAGCTTTTTTTCCTCCTCACCTAAATTACAAAAGCAAATCATTTTATGATAATCTTCCCCAAAATATCAGACTCTTCCTTTATGTATGTATGGTTTTTGGTCCAGACAAACATGTAGGTGAGAGTCTCCCAGTCAGTGAGTGCCCAGTGTGCGTACAGCGTGGGATTCAGAAACCGAGGCTCTGGTCAGCTCTGCTGCAGCTACTGTAGTGTTAATTGTACATTTGGCAGCTTTTGCTCAATTATGCAAAACTCACTACGGTCTGCAGCACTCACATGGACAGGCGTAGTGTGTGTATGTTTGTGTGTGATAGACAGACAGATAGATAGAGAAAGAGAGACAGAGAGGGAGAGAGAGAACAAGAGAGATAAGATATGAGCATGTGCCTGATGGAGCGTGAAGTGAATATGAGTGTGTGTTTTTAATGCATGCATGCATAAGAATGAGAGGAATTACCTAAGAGTGTCCTAGCTGTGTGTTTTCCCTGACTCTCCCTTCTACTTCTCTGATTTTCCACCTCATTTTCTCTGTCGTTGTTTCAGTTCAGGTTTATATTTGCTATTGGTAGTCATGCACATGCATCCGGAAACAAACACTGGTGTGTGTTAGCATGTGAATGTGTGCACATGAGAGAGAAGTTGCAAGTCCACGAGGAAGAAAGTGAAAGTGAGAATGAGAATAGAGGAGGTAGTGAGTGTGGGAGGTCAGACGTAGAAGTTAACGTCCCTGTAATCTGCACTCTGATTCTCTGGAAACATATCAGATCAAAGCTGGGTGTTTCGGAGTCTTCATGCTGGCCTTTTGTCTCACAGCCCTGTCTTAATCCCAGGTCAAGAATATTAGTCCAGTGATCAAAGACGGACACAGCAGAGCCACAGCATTGTCATTTGCTGTGGTTTCTTGGGATTTCACTTTAAGCCTCTATAGACAGGATCAGAAATGAACTCCTTTCTCCTTTTTTGTTAACATTTTTTTCATTTCTTCACTTATTTTCTTTTTCAGATTAAAGCTCAAGATGTTGTTCATACACTGTTCATGTGTATGCCATGAACAGTGCTGGGTATCCCTCAGCTGTATAAATTATTACTGGATAAACAGAAACAGGCACTGTAATGTTCTAATAACTGACCCAGAAAAGCAGGGAAGTCTGTGTGTGACTGAGAGACAGTGAGAGAAAGAGCATAAGCATCACATAGTCAGCTCGTTGAAGATTCTCCACTTTTTCCCTCACAATCTATGAAGTGTAGGCTCTGAGCTATGGTGTGTGTGTGTGTGTGTGTGTGTGTGTGTGTGTTCATACCATAACTAGATTCTAGTGCTTTCTTGTTATAACTGAGATCAGAAGACTTTTTGTGCAGGATCCATCACTGTCCTGCTGTTTGTGTGAATGTCAAAAACATACTCTTACATTACGTTTCTTACATTCTAGTATGTGTGCACACGTTTGCATCTATGTGCGCACTATGCAGCGATGCAGTTAAGCAGAATAGCAAGGGTAACAGTCTCAATAAACCTGCTGCAGCCAGCCAGCTGAGATTAGCAGGCAGAGATGTAGCTGATGATAAATGAATTTGCATGCGTGACCAAGCACACAGATAGCCTGAAAAACTGTCAAGAACAAAGGAAGTGGGGAAGCCATGCTTTTGATTATTTGATGTATTTACTCAAGATGCACTCAGATGGAGAAATATGTAGTCTAAAAGAAATTACAGCACAGATAATCCACCCACTCTACAATGTGTCTGAGTTGGTTTAGTTGATGTGAATGCAAAAATAGCCTTTATCTTCAAAGAAAAAAAATGATTAAAGATAACAACAAATGAAATCTCTTCTCTGTAATTTAGATGTTAGGAAATGTCATCTGGGCACCTCGGGGTGCCTGTTATCGGTGATGTGTTGTTCTGTCTGTGACGATGTTTTGTGGGCATGCCCGTGGACAGATTGTGACAGGAAAACAGTTTGTGTGCTGGAGCGGTGGAAGCGGTGATACGGAACAATCTGATGAAGTGATTTCTGTTTCACCTCCTCTAGCTAGGTCACAGCATCCCCCGTGGGCCAAAACCAATCTCAGAAATGTTCATTCCCTTTTATGTCACTCTCTCTTCCTGTCATCTTACTCTCTGCTCTCTTTACCTCTGACTCTGTCTCCAGTGTAAGACCCTAGCAGGGATATGTGACCACATCATCTCTCTGTCGTCAGACTCTCTGGTCTCTCAGTCAGCCCATCTAGAAGTGGTCCACCTTACCAGCATCATGCCCAGTGAAGGGCTGGTAAGCACACATCTGAGGATGAACACACATACTCAAACATATCAAAAATCCTAAAGCAAAAATCCAAGTGGAATTTTCCTAAAAAGAAAAAAATGGCATTCAAACATTTGGGTTGTTTTTACAAAGCAATTCAAGGCTGTGTTAATAGTTTTTTTCCTTAACTATAGACAAATTAATGGAAAAAACAAACAAATCTGAGGAAAAACAACAAAAGAAGATACTTTCATACTGAGTTTGAGGGTCCCTGAATGGTTTGAAGAGTATAGAATCTATGAGTGAAAAATAAGCTTAATCATACACCATAGCCTTCAAAGTCGATCCGACAGGGATATGGGACCAACATCAACAGTCGCCATGGGGGATTTTTGACCAGAATGTCAGACAGCGCTCTCCATGTAATCCCATGTACACCGACTCCACCCTCTCTGCCTGTATGTGCTTGTGCTTCAGGGGATGTATATCAAATCAACGTACGACGGCCTCCATGTAATCACCGGAACCACAGAGAATGTGAGTTTTTGTTTCAGTCAGTCAGAAGCTGACACTCCATCAAGTACAATTTGTAATCTTATGTCCAGTTATGGGAATGATTTTACACCTCTGTACCTCCTGAATCTGCTCCCATTGTCCCCTGTCTTTCGATGGCTTCCTCTACAGTCTCCAGCAGACCAGTGTAAGAAGATCCATGCAGGGGACGAGGTGATCCAAGTCAACCACCAGACAGTGGTGAGTTGCTTCTCGGTCGAACACTGCGGTGATACAGAGTCACAGGATATATGTACAGTACTTTGCAATCTGTGCTGTGTTGAGGAGCTGTCAAGGTACATGATGTCTGCTACCACCACCATCACCATGGTGCTTCCTATCCTGTGCCTGCGTCACTATGTAGGCTAATTAGACTTGCTGTGGGAGCAGATTATAGGACAACTGATACAAGACCTTTGTTAGGGTCCACTGTGATTGTCAGCTCACTCTTTCTGGAATTTGTTCTCGTTGTTGTAAGAGCCCCTTGAAGAAGGCATTTGGTTGGAAATATGAACTGATGTTCCACTTTCAGACCTGAATAAGTTGAATTTCTGCCTTCAACTCATAACATCACAGGGAGGCACAAAAACGGGCAGCCATTTTAAATGGAACAGTGCCTCGTGAAAGCATGTGATTGCTGTCTATTCCTGTGCTGTCAGCTCTGGCACAAATGATTTGCTCCCGAGTTTATTTGAGATTTCTGAAGGGGGAGAAAAAGGCTTTGTGCCTCTGTGTAGACATGTTTTGTGTGCTTTTCCCGTAAGTATTTCCTCGTACGTCAAGGTGTAGGTGCTGCTTGTGTGAAAGCTTGAATGCAGGCACCGGGAAGCGGCGTTGATTGACGCGAGAGGGAGCCGCCTGTTATCTTTCTCCTTCTCACTCCTCTGGGTGACAGTGCAGATCACACCCTGCCAGGTTCACAGCTCCAACCCCCCATTACTCCCTCAGCTAGACCCTCACCACTCTGATCCCTCACTCTGGGGGAGGAGATAAGAACGGGGAGACAGAGGTGTATGTGTGTGTGTGTGTGTGTGATGGAGAAGGGAGAATGAAGTGGTGAAGTGATGCTGGGATGAGGCAGAGCTGTGAGAGTGAGGCACAAAAGGGAGGAGGAAGTAATGAGAATCTTAAGGACGATGACAGGAAAAGGAGGGGAAGGAGGGCAACAGAGAAATTTCTAGTCAGTACAGATTTTTTTTTTGAATAATAACTTGAGCTGTTGTGAAAGATGGAGACACACTACCATTAAACTCTCTGTCAGCATTGCAGCTGCTAAGTTTATCTAGCGAGGCTCCTATTTAAATATTAGATTACTGTGAATGTTGAATTAAAAAATTACATTACATTATGGAATCATTATGAAGGCATATCCCCCATTTAACAACAGCCCTGCTTCATGTCTATACACGAGCTTCTGTTTGGGACCCACTTAAAAACAGGACTCACAGTTTTTTAGCACAGCTTCTCTTTTGAGGTGAAATGTGGGATTTGCTCAAATAAGAAACTGACTGTTTAAAGAGGCAACATACTTATGTGGCAATGATAGCGCCTGGGAAAATAATGAAGACCCCTGGGATTTGAAAAACCTCTGCAGCAGCAGCTTATGCTTGGTTATCATTTTGGTAGGTCTTTCCCATGCTTCCTTTTGCTGTGTGCATGTTTGCATAACAGCACAGTTTTAAACTGGCCTGGTTAGGACCTGTTCTGTGTTTCACACACTGTACGTACAGTCTGTTATTATGGTGGACCAAACAAGAACATTATAGTATCTGTGAGCTCACTGTTTTGGTTTTATGGCCTGTTGTAATTCATTTGTACTGCTTTCATTGGTGTTGCTTCAGCAACAGCGAGCAGCAATAAAAGTTCTAAAATCAAACTGTACACTACCTGTCCAGACTGAAACCGCAGACAAAGTTAGCAACCACCTGGTGAACATAGTGGGCAGATATTTTACTCACGAGCTGGTTGAGACCAAAACAGAACTAAAAGGAGCACGGGTAACTTTTTTTTTTCAGGTGGTGCTAATGTTGGTTTTTATCTGCTGGTACAAATAGGTGACAGTTTGCTAAGCCATTAAGGTGATAATGATCAGTATGCTCTTTAGAGCATGTTGTGCTGTTCCGAGTGGCTCAGAATCAATTAATGCAGGTTTACTTGTTGTCTAAACACAAGCAGTTATAGAAGAACTTTGCCTGTATAAAATAGTTCAAAGCAAACTGATGATTTAATTCAGAAACATTTTGATCAAATGAGAGTAGGTTCAGGTACATCCTAGTGTGTCCTCCTTTTTGGTTTAGTGGGCAGACCAGGACAGATAATGCAGAGGTAAGTTATCTCCAACGCAGCCTGCTGCAGATGAACCCTGGCTGAACCCAGTGTTCTGAAATGGGCCAAGAGAACAAGGAACAGGGTGCAACAGGCTGACACAGGCTGGTCATCATTATGTCAGGAACAAGGTCAGAGCAGTTCTGTCTGTTTGTGAGTGACTGTGTGTGCGTCTGTGTGTGTACTGGCCTCTGTGGACACTTCCAGTAGCTGAGACTAGCGTTACCAATCAATGGGCTGGCGCGAGTGCTGTGAGCTGTGGAGACAGGCTGGCCACAGGAAACACTGGAATCAATTTTTAACTCTTTTACCAGCTCTCTTCACCATACTGACTAAGCCATCTCTGTTTGAGACAGTAGACCAGTGGTACTGGGACAGTATGGTGGATAGTTGTAGTGTCTTTCTGATTGGATGGCAACAAAGTAAATAAAGGCTCTGTGTAATCTGCATGCCTGATGTTTACTAGAGGGTAATTTTATCTTTATAAGTGTCTCAGATATAAACCATGTTCAAACTAAAAAGCTCTCACCTTTCTACCAAGACAACACAAAATTCTAAGCATCTTATATGAGTATTGTTTTGAAATGTTTAAATATGTATGTTAAGTTTGCAGTGGATCCACCATTTTGGTCCAGACTGCCAGCTATTGACTTGCCATGAAACTCTGTACAGACATTCATGGTCCCCAGATCATGTGATTCCGCTGGCTTTGCCTCTTGCACCACTATGAGCATGATCTCTTTTGAATGAAATATTTCACCAATTATTGAATGGTTTGCCAGAGATTCATGATCCCCAGAAGTTGAAGCTCGCTGACTTTGGTGACCCGCCTGACTTCTTCTAGTGCCACCAGCTGGCATTTATCCAGTCAGTATCTCAATATCCACTGGATTGGAACAAAATTTGGAACACACATTCACATATAGTGCCACCATCAGGACTAAACTGAATTGTCTACATCACCTTTGTACCAGCAGGACAGCCCCCAGAGAACACCAGAAAAATGGGAAACAAACCTATTGCACATGGCCCAGAACTGAAAAATGAGGGTTGATTTAGACCAGAAGCTCTGCTTTCCAACAAAAACAATAACAACAACCCTCAGGCCAGGCCTGACCTTGTGGTCAACCTCCCACAGGCAGCTATACATTGTGGAACTAACTTTATCAAAGCTGCAGTGGAGGAAGCATTTGAACATAAAAGGCCCAAATATTCAGACATAGGGGATGAGGCAGCATGGCAGGGCTGTTGGACACAGGTGTTTCCAGCTGAGGTCTTTGTAGCAAACACAACCACCAGGCTTCTGAAGCAGATGGGAGTCCGAGGTCGACTCTTCAGCAAGCCATAAGGTTTCTGTCAGAGGCAGCCAAGTGAGGCAGCAACTAGCTATGGCTATGAAGAAGGGATTCCAAATGGACTGTAAAATAACAATAGAAGGGGTAAAAGCAGAGGGGGGTCCACCTGGGATGCCAGGTGTCACTGATGAGCCCTCTAGGAGTGTCATGGGCTCATCATCATCAAAACACAGAGGAAGGACAGTGCCCACCTGCCAACCCCAATGATGCAATGACCACTGCCCTTACTCAGGACACCAAGGAGCTGCCAATTTCACAAGGGATTGTAAGATCATGTTCTGACAGCTCAATGTCAATGTCAAAGTATAGTGTCCACTAGCATGGTTGTAGAATAAAGGACATTGTGAAAATATCACCTTTGATGACATGTGGAGTTACTTCAGAGTTAGTCAAGTTAGTTGTCATTGCTGTAGATATATATGTGCTATCTTGGTTCATATCATTTTCATCAACAAAAGGGGGTGTTAGGTTTCATGATAATTGTGATGCTGTATATTTTTATTGCATTTCATTATTGTTATCAATAGAATGAAACCTGAAAGGCTGAAGAAAATACTTGCACAAACAGAACTCTGAATCTTGAAAGTAGAGGCTTTTCTTTAGCCCAACATAAATTTGAAAATATACATCATAGAAGCAAAATGATTCAAACTCGTCCTGAAAGTCTATAGCTAGTGTCAAAGTATATGTCTTGTGCCACATACATGTCCCTTTCTTGTAGCAAAACATTACCACAAATGTGTGTGCACCTCAGGTGGGCTGGCAGCTGAAGAACCTGGTCAACGCTCTGAGAGAGGACCCATGCGGGGTCATCCTAACGCTGAAGAAAAGGCCCCAGAACACCTTAAGCTCAACACCGGCTCTGCTCAGGAACGTCCGCTGGAAACCACTGGGCCTGCAGGTGAACACCAGCCTGAGCAGTACCTGATCTGAACAGTGCTAAACTCACTCAGTGACCAGAGTTTGAAGGACCAGTATAGCTGATTTTTTTTTAACAAGAATGTAAGAAATTGTAATTTGGACTTCAAGGCATGTGTTTTCTCATTTCTACACAGTTTTGTAGATTTAAATTTGCACTATTCTTGTGCAGTTAAGACACTGCAGAAGCATCATTTGCCATTATATGGACAGTAAGCTCTGTTGTACCTCAGAGTTTTTCTTTGATACACTTTCAGCTCTTGGTTTTACTGCCCACACTCTGATTTCTTCCACTGGAATTAATGAAAAACCTTTTTTCAAAGGAAACATGTCCACTGTTTGACTTTGCATCAAACCTACTGTTGGGCATTTAACTAAATCTCTGTGTTGCTACCACAGATGTGCTCATAGATACTGTAAATCTCCACCTGCAGAAATTGAATGCAGACCAAAAGCATATTTTTAGATATGGGCAGGGAAAAGATAGCTAATTAAATCTTATCTTAGCACCTCAGGGTTGTGTGAATGATTTACGTAAACGCTATCATATGATCTGGGCTTCCTGCTCAGGAACTAGTGCAGGGCAATACAAGGTCACCAAAAAGTTCATTCATTCTCAAATTCACATTTGTCCAAAAGGACATCTCTTTTTCAAAAGAGAGTAAATTTGTAATGTGCAGTAGATCTAAAAGGTGAAATCCCTTTTTAATGGCTTCCAGCTCAAAGCAGGTGCACACATTTTATTTAAGGGGAAATACCTTCTAAATCTGTCACTCACTCAGAAGCCAGAAAAATCACTTGACAACTTTAGTGCACAAAAAGAACAGGCAGTGCTGAGGCGGAGGGGTGAGGCGAGGGCCAGTCTGACGCTTCCTGAGTGCTTTGTGTGTTTTGTCAGACCCGTGTTCCAAGGCTGCTATTTTTAACCTCTCTCTGGCTGATTCATTTACATGTTATATGCATGCTTTGATCTCTGCTTGGCGCTCAGATGCTCTTTGGCTTTTCTCTTTCTTCTGTTCCTTAATTTTTCATTTTTGTCTAGGTGTCCCTTTTCTTTTTATGCTTCCTTCATTCTCTTCCGTGTTTCTTCTTTATTCTTTTCAAGCAACTATTTTTTTTTATGTCTGTGAGCATATTAATGCAGCATTTAGCAGTATACATATGTTCACATAAGAGACCTACAGATTCAGCTACCCCAAATCTTTTGCAAATGTTTTCTGTGATGGTCTAGAAGCCATTAAACCCTAAAACTATAGTACATACTGCAACTTCATCGCCATCTTTGTCTCCAGCAAGACAGAGGGCTGTTCCTGTGTCCAGGTTGCTGCCTTGTTTGATCATCAGTCTAAGTTGTTACCATGAGCTTATTGTTTGCTGTGTGCAACAGCAGAGGATGGTGAAATTCCTACCCTGATGGACTGCTAACACACAAATGCATCACAAGCGCACAGATCAGAGCACCGAGACATCAGTGGGAGAAGAGAAGAAAGGAGTGTTTTAGATTTGTTCTCTCTCAGAAAGACTGGAGCTCTTAATTATTCATAAGCAACTACAGGCAGCTTCACTGGCTCTGAAACAAGAGCTGCTACTCAGCAAATACTAGAGATAATTCACTGAATCCAAAATATCCTGCTAAACAGGCTGTGTGTGTGTGTGTGTGTGTTCTTGTACGTGCTAATAACAAGGACCAAAAAAAGTATTTTTTTGCTAAACAGTGAGGACATTTTGGCTGGTCCTCATTGTCTGAAACAGCTTTTTGAGGGTTACGACTCAGTTTTAGGGTTCAGGTTAGAATTAGGGTTAGTTTTGGGTTAGGAATTTTGTTCTAATGGTTTGGGTTAGGGTACGGGGCTTGGGAATGCATTATGTCAATGAGTGTTCTCACAAAGATAGAAGTACAGGTATGTGTGTGCGTGCATTTCTAAACATAGCTATATTCATGTTTGTCCATCTGTATGTGTCAAGGGTGTTTCTGTGCATGTTTGGGCATGTGTGCAGAGACATTTTTCCATTATCCATCCTGTTGCTCATTGGAGAGGTGAAGGAACTGGGTCACTGCACTCTGCAAGCATGCATTTTGGATACACACTGTACATACACACTCCCAAAATCAAACACACATACATCCCAAACACACGCAGACTCTCTAAGCCTGGTTTTGGAGGATAAATTGCACGGCTGTGAAGTTTAGCCCAAATGTGGCAAACGTTCAGCTGGATTATAACTGAGCCCACAAAGGAAACAATTTATTTCAGCAAATTATCATGTGATTCAAGCCACAAATCCCTCCATGGCAACCTCTCATCTCATACAAAATAATGGCACGTATCTCTCTCCCCCTCTGTGGCCATGTGACTGCGTGTTTTGTCCACAGTAGGAGGGAGTAAAAGCTATTTGATGATCAACTGTAATTAAAATGATGCTAGTTATGATTTTAACAAAAGCACAAAGATTATTCACTGTGATGGTGCATATTGCACACGTGCATGTCTGCCACACTGCCGCAAGATGTGCAAGTAGTGTGCACATCTTGTAGTCACACATGTGCCACACACTGTCTGTGACCTCACGGTATTAAATATGTTATACATTTAGAAGCATAAATTGTAAACGCCTGCTATTTTAGGAGACATGTTTTGGTCAATTGTGTATTATTGATGGAGCAGCTGAATGGGTTTCTCACACCTTACAGTACTTACAGTACATTATTTTGAGGTATTTTTGTGACAGCTATAGTAGTAACTTGAAAAGATGAATGTACACACTCTTTATACAGTGGAAGGAGTGGACAATATCTAAAGGTTTTATCATAATTAATATCTCCCAATAACAGTAAATGTAATAATAACTGCTGAAAAGCCAACTTCACCTGATGTTCTATTACATAACTGGTCTCCTGCCACCAGGTCATATCCTATCATCTTCATCAGCAGATAGAGTTTGAGGCTTAACCTTTATGGCAACATGGATGAAAAAGTGCTCAGAAACAAATAGAAAAGTGACTTCTTCCAAGCGTCACCAACTCCAAGCTGCTACTTCAACATGAAAATGCAAGATTCACGCTCTAAAAACATGACAGCTTAACATGGCAGCCTCAGTGATAGGAGACCCACTCCTATTTAGATATAAAAGGCTCAATCTAAGATAAAAAAAAAACACACTGATGATGATTGTTATTTTTTGGTGATTCCATATTAACGAAAACCTAATTATGCATACTATAGCCCATTTCTGCTAATAAATACTTCTATATCTTCCACCTTTAAATGCAAATTAAAAGCAACTATTTCATCACAGCACAAAGTAGCAACATGAAAGCGTAGATACCCAGTACGTTTAGTACAGCCATGGCAGACTGTGGATACTCAATGTTCTCATTATACTTTGTACGACCTTCGCTTGTCTTCCCAACACTAACCTCTGAGTACTTTAACACTAGAGGTGGGTGTATATACAGTCTGCTAAACAGCCCCAAAAACTTTTATATCTGTGTCAAACTGTGGATTCGTGACATGATATATTCTCAGTTTAATTCAAATGAGGCACCGAACAATAATTTGATTGGGTTAAAATAAAATGCCCCATTTATTACAGATTTGCTCACAGTTTTTTAATAACCAATAATAAAATATCCTTCAGGTAGGTATGTTATGTTCATTGTTCAGTTTCTCATCCAGCCCTGGGCAAACTGTTATTTATCATTTTATATAACTATACCTAGTCAAGGTATTATTAAGAATATTAGAGTATGTGCTAATTAATGTGTGTATTAGAGTCTCAGAAAGGCTGAGCAGTAGATTTTTAGGTAGTCTGAAGTGGACGCAGCAGGGGTCACATGGATTAAGTGCTGTTTTAACCAACTGAATTTTGCCCGCTGTGGAACTCCCAGCTCACTCTCCTTCTACTTCTACCCCCCCACACCCCTTTTTCATGCAGGCAGTAGTGGGCTGTAATCACTAAATTACTGTTTTCACTCTCAGCTCCAGTCACCACACTGCACAGCTCCCCTGCTTTGCTCTCCCTCTTTTTCCACCCTGTCTCCATTATTTACTGTGAAGCCGTCTTACTGTAAGCTGCCTTCATGAGAGGAAGACTGTGCAGGCAAAAGAGATGAAGCCTGGGGATGGAGGTAGTGGGGATGGTGATGCAGGGGAGAGAGAGAGGAGAGTGGAGAGTTCTGAATATGAAATGAATTTTTCTAATGCACTGCTGATGAAATGATGAAACACTGGGCTTCCTTAATGAGAGCACTGCCTGCCTCGCCATCGCTCGGGCTGCATGTTTATCTATTCTGTCCACGCTCACCTCTCCTTTCTAATATAATAGACTCCTCACACATACAGTGAAACACTCCATTTTTCAAAATCTGGGAAATCTCATCCTCAGGGAGACACTGTCAGTACAAGCTACGCATTTGTCACACCGGCTGTTGTGACTGAGAATAAATATAGTTCATTGGAAATTTGAACTGAGTTTCTATGACGTCTGAAACGAGGCATCCTGTCCTCACGAAGAAACTGATGACAAATGAATCTACGTGTCCTTGAGTCAAGCAGAGGCAGGAGGCCACGTTAGCTTTCCTCAGTCCTCCTTCTTTTGTAATATAGGAGCAGGGAGGGGTGTGCGAGGAGACCGAGGAAGAGTAAGGAGAGGATGGGAGCGGAGGGGTTGTCATGGGAACAGACATGGAGAGCCCTATGTGAGTGGAGAGGTTTAAGACAAAATGACAGAATAGTGAAGCGATTGAATGTGGGAGATGCTGCACAGTCACATATAAAATACAGAGAGATATTAAAAAAGACAACATACACAACATGGCAGCTCTGTGGAAATGGCTCTCTTGCTTGTGATTCGGTGTTAAACCGTGCGATGGATGCAGCACAAGAAAGATATCACAAATAAATGGTCTGCTTGTAACAG